GCATTGCCAGAGGAGCAGCTTTCTGCTGCCCTGCATGGCCAGAGGGAGCCCAGGCCCATCTGCAGCAGCCCTGGAGCTGCAGAGGAAAACTCCCCCCTTGTGCAGGATCCCTGCTGCAGCAGAGCCACAGCTGGCACTGCAGGAGGGCTGAGCCCCCATGGGTGGGGCTGGGACACCCCCTGGCACACAGGGGGCAGGGACTGTGATCACTCTGACAATGTTGTTATATATCACTGCATAATTTTATTTTTTATTTTCTTCCCTAGTAAAAATCTGTTATTCCTACTCCTATATCTTTGTCTGAGAGCCCCTTGATTTCAAAATTATAATAATTCAGAGGGGGGAGTTTGCATTCTCCTGCCTTCCTCAGCAGACACCTGTCTGCTCAAACCCAGACACCAGCAGGGAGGCAGCTGGTGCAGCTGGCACTCACAGGGTTTGGGAAATAAACCCCAGTTTGCCAAAGCTCTGGTTTTTAATAACAGCTAACTAGAAATAAACATTCCAAAGGCCTACAGCACCTGGGCTGGGAGGGTTTTCCTCTACCATATCCCCCTCCTCAGCTCCCTAAGTCCTTACTGAGCTCCCATAACCTCTTTCTTTCCCTTGCTCCTTGCATTTGCTTTATTCTGCAGTCCCAGTTTCCCCTTTTCAGTTTTCATCCCTTATCTCCATCTCTGGTTTCTGCACTGACCCCTCCCTGGGTTCTCCCCATCCAATCCCAGACTGGGAGAGCAGGAAAAGGGCAAGGAGGGAGCACGAGGAGCTGTGAGGAGCTGGGAACTCTCCCACACACCAGGACTCGGCAGAAATGTCACTCCTCAAATCCCAGCCCTGCCAAGCAGACCCAAAAGCAGCTCCTGAGGGGCTTCCAGCTTGGAAACATCTGCCCAGATGTTCACAGCAAGGCTAAGAGGCACCTTTGGTGCACAGGATTGCTTTAATTTGATAACCCTGTTATCAAAAGGGAGTTTTAATCTACCCAGCCCCCTCAAGGGGCAGGTAGAGCTCTGCTCAGTGTAGCCCCAGGGTCTGCACTGCCCACCCCACAGCCACAGTCACCCACCAGTGGTCACCCAGGGCAACTTCCTCCCCTGGAATGGAAAATGGAAAACCCTTCCCTCTGAATTGTTATAATCTTGGAAATTTAGGGGCTCTCAGGCAAAGATATGGGAGTAGGAATAACAGTTCTTTATTAGTGAAAAAATAAAAGTAAAATAAAAATGCAGTAATACAACACCCACCAGGAGCTGGATCAGGAGCATGCAGGAGCTCCCAGGCTGGCTGTGCCTCTGCCCTCTGTAGGAGCTCACTGAGGGAATGGCAGCAGGGGAGTTTGGGGCCTTACCTGGCACAGAAGGGGAGTCTGGGGCCTTACCTGGCACAGAAGGGGAGTTTGGGGCCTTACCTGGCACAGAAGGATCAGAGGTTCCCTGAACTCTGCCTGGCAGATGGCACAGATGTCTCCTGCCTCACTGCACTGCTGGCTCGTGGCACGGACCCCATAGGTCTGCCAGGGACAGGGGGGAAAAAACAAACCCCAGGTCAAAGGATTGGGAGGGTAAATGTGCACAAAGGGGGTAAAACAAACCCCAGGTCTCAAAGGATTGGGAGGGTAAATGTGCAGAAAGGGGAGAAAACAAACCCCAGGTGAAAGGACTGGAAGGGTAAATGTGCACAAAGGGGGTAAAACAAACCCCAGGTGAAAGGATTGGAGGGTAAATGTGCACAAAGGGGGGAAAAACCAAACCCCAGGTGAAAGGATTGGAGGGTAAATGTGCACAAAGGGGGGAAAACAAACCCCAGGTCAAAGGACTGGAAGGGTAAATGTGCAGAAAGGAGTAAAAAACAAACCCCAGGTCTCAAAGGATTGGAGGGTAAATGTGCAGAAAGGGGAGAAAACAAACCCCAGGTGAAAGGATTGGGAGGGTAAATGTGCACAAAGGGGTAAAAAACAAACCCCAGGTGAAAGGATTGGAGGGTAAATGTGCTCAAAAGTTGCTTTTCACCCCCACATTCCCCACAGGGACAGCAGGGTGGGGAAGGGGGCTCTCTGCTCCCTGTCTGCCTTTCCCCTGCAGCTGCCTCCATCTTTTAGGGCCTCCACTTGTGCAGCAAGGATAATGGAATTTAATGAGCTCAACAGGGAGCTGAGAGGATTAATTCAGCATCATGTGCAGGGGTGTTTAGATGGAGGGAGGGATTATTATTATTATTATTATTAGAAAGCAGGAGACAATGGAAGAAAGAGAAACAGCAGCAGCACCCACAGGCTGCCCACTTCCCCTTCAGATACAGGGAAGGGAAATGTTGCTGTTCCACTGTAAGAGATTTAGGGCAAACAGAAACCTGCTGAGGGAAAATGACCAGCCCAAGCCCAGGGAATAAGCAAGATAAGCTCTAACAAACTTTGATGAGGTTCTTTTCCTCTACAGCTTTTGATTTTACCCTTTTAAAATGGAAGTGACTGCAGCAGATCTAAATATCAGCCCTGTGGGATGCAGTGCCTGGGATAATTCCTGGGTCTCTTTCAGGCACCACAAAATCCTCAAAGTCCTTCCCACACTCTGCACTACAAAGTTTTGCAGCTCCTTGCAGTTGGATTAATTCACATAGATGTCAGAAAAGGTCCCTGATGTCCCTGACTGGAGCCCCCAGCTTGCCCAGCCATGGGCTAACATTGTTTTATTCCGTGGTCCTGAGCAATTTTCAGTTTTATCATTCAGCAGGAACAAGGTTCCACCTCTGGGACTGCTCCTCCACACTGAATCCTTACCTGGGGGGTGCAAAGGACCTTCAGTGCCTTCCTGACACTTCCCACACGGCCACAGATGTCAAAAGACTGCAAAAAACCACATCTCATTTTAGATAATTTTCACAAAATCTGTGTGTGTGTGTGAGTCCAGAAACTCAACAAACATTCTCCAAATGGATACACAGAGGGGAAAAAAGTAACAATGGTGCCAAAAAAGATTTCATGGTGATCATGAAATATGTAATAAATGGGGATTGACAGTGGGGAAGGGTGGCCAGAAAAGCTCTGGGAGCAGCTGAGTGCAAAGTGGGGACTTTGGAGGACACAGAGGGGGTGGCACCAGGCTGGG